CTGACTGACTGTTTTCGCTCAGAATCGTTTTTCTTATACACTGATATTATATCATTGAATTCAAATTTAATACAATCCATTATACAGTGACCCACTTGTAACCTACTGTACAGCAGAGCATTTTTTTTTTTTTACTTAGCTGGCTCCACGACCTTTATTGCTTTTTTTACTGATAACCTAACCTTCATTGTGTTTAATTTTCAATTGATTTAATTGTTTTATACATGACATATACGTATAAACATTACAAATCGATAAGATTTTCTGAAGACTGCATTGTCGGCTGTTAATTGTTTTTAATGGGTTTTATTATCGACGATATTTACCGATGTCGCTAAATACTTATCCGGCAATTTTTATGACCAGTTAATTTAAGGTTTTTAAAAGTATCCATACTATAGATTAAAATATGTTCATAATGCGTATATACTTACTATAGATTCAAAATTGTTCGTCAGTCCGCTACTCCGCTCTGATTGCATTTTATATGTACAAAAATATTTTAAGCCCAAACCGTCAACGTTTTACTGAAGACAGTTTATCTAAGTACATGATGGTGATTTTTTTTAATAGATACACACTAGTTAAATATACAAACTATTTAATTTTTAAGGACATTTTTTTTTGTAATTGCTTTTTTTTATTATACATTATTTGTCTATTTTGCCTTTTTTGATATTTTGAATGCTTTTTTTTCTGATTATATTACCTTTAAATCCAAACCCTAGTCATAAAATAATTCAAGTATTAAATACCATAAAAAAACTGTTAATTATTTTGGTCGGGAATGGGTTTTGGTTATAAAACCGTAATTGAAAATATGAGGTAACCGCTTTCATGTTAATATTTAGATATTTACCTTAAATACCGATAACCAAAAATTACTTCCAGCATTCCAAAACCAACAGAATGAATTCATTTTTGAAAAAACACTGTATATGCATACCAATTTTACGGTAAAAGTATGTACTACTTGTATGAAAGACCTTATATGAAGTCTTAGCTTATACAAATTTAATATTTTATAAGTTTTGAACTACAAATTAACTGTGATTTTAAAGAAACTTTAACTTTAAATGCTTATAATATGTATCGTTAATATTTTAGCTATAATAAAAACTTACGTATTACATTTTTAAGCTTTTTATCGGATTAATATTTATTTTATTGAAATTTATAGAAAAAAAATTTAAATTAATGAAGTATAATCCAAGTGAGGACGGTATAGCTGGTTACCAAACAATTTTAATACATTTTTTTTATTCTCCAATTATTTTAAAAAGCATTGAGCATTTTCAATTTCGACATCCTTAAAGTACCAACTAGATTCAATTTGCTTCCAAAAACATGCATCGCACATCGAAGCTTATAATCAGAGCATTTTTTCTACCAGAAAAGGTGAAAAGTTAAAACAATTTTAAAATACCTCAAATAAACTTTTGAAATTATTAGACTGGATAAAATAAAAATAAAATTGTAATTAATTTTCAAGAATACCCATTTAAAATCCTGCGTACGCCATTGGGTTATCAAATGTACTGTTTTTTACGGGTTTTCGTTACTAACCGGTTACCCTGATATTTTCTTTAATATTTACCAACATTTATATTTATCTGTATAAAATTACCATTTGGTCTAAAAATAAAATAATAAAATAATAGCATAACCAAACCATATTGTAGTGATCCCACCTAGAGAGTTAGATTTTGAAGTGAATGGATGATAGGTAACAATAAAGAGTAACAAATTGTCATTAAATTTGTTTATTCGTCACTTAAAACGGGCGTAACCGTTTTCCGCCAAATTGACCCTAGCCCGTTATCACCATGGCCGTTTTCCGCCAAAGGTTATATTCCGATTTCCGCCAAAACAAATTGATAAATTTTTTTTGAGAACCCCTGAACTGAATCCATCAATTAGTAATAACTCGATGTACGCGCCTCACCTTGTATCACACACGCGCTTCACCCCACACAGATATTGATTACAAACTATTATCTATATTTTATCTTACTATTATTATTCACCTATTTAAGTATAGGTACCCACTGTATTTTCCAGAGCATACGCTATTATATACGAATTGTACGTAAAAACAGTATAAGTATAAATATCACATGTTAAACATCACTAGATTTTCGTCCAAATAATAATTATTATAAAAATTAAAATTATATGAAAAGTACACATTCAATATTTAGGTATCTATACAAAAAAAAATATTTTTAATAATATCACATGTCTGTCGTCCAAATAATAAATTATTATAAAAATTAAAATTATATAAAAAGTACACATTCAATATTTAGGTATACTATAAAAAAAAATATATTTTTAGTAATTTCACATGTCTGTCGCCCAAATAATAAATTATTATAAAAATTAAAATTATATAAAAAGTACACATTTCATTCACAATATTAATTAAGTACACATTTCATTCACAATATTCATTAAGTACACATTTCATTCACAATATTCATTATTTACTATACGAAAAAGAGATTTTTTTGACAAACTCGAACCTAGTTAAATGCCCATGAATGTATTTTTGAATGTATTCTTCATTTTTTTTTTGTCTCAAATGAATTATTTTTCGTGGAGTTTTCGGTTGATTCACACTTGACATTTTACAATATACACTGGTTTGTACTTCATTAATCAAGGTCTGAACCCACGTAAATATTGAAGGTGAATTTTTATAAAACGATTTATTGAAGTCGGAATGAAACGATTCACATGCATTTGTGGTTCTTGTTAATGCAGAAGTTGCTTCTGCCCATAACTTAGGGGGGAACGTACTTGTATTTAAAATGTAATTGTTCAATAAATATTGTGAATACGCTAGAACGCGATTATCAGATGGGCACTGTGGCATAAAATCTTCCATAAAACAACTCATTACTTCACTTGGATTTAAAAATAATAAACCAAAGGTATACCTTAACCACATACCAATATTACACTTATTTTTATACTCGGTAATTAGCCCTAGAGATTGAATTTGTCGATACCATGCTTGAGTCAAGTGAAATCGACAACCAACTACATTCATCCCAGGCCAAACTTCATAAATTGCATTTAGTATAGCTTTTTCAAAATCACTAGTTATATTAGTTGGTAAAAAAAGACGACCCATATTATCACACAATTCTGATATTTTTTGCAACATATAAATGTAAGTCTCTGTTTTTTTGTCAGGCAGCAAACAAAATACAAGTGGTACATAATGCCCATTTTTGTACCCATGAATTGTATACATTTGAGTAAAAAATCTAGCACTGTATTGGAAAGTGCCATCCATGTATATAGTTTGGACATCACATAAGAATTTTAAATTGTTTGCACATGAAAAAATCAAAACATTTTTAGAATCATCGTTTAATAATAAGAACGGTTCCCCTTGCATTGTCAAAATGTTCATATCTCGTAAAGAGTCGTGCATAGATTGTATAGAAGTTGGATTAGCCGGAAGAATTTTTCGTCGGCTTTCATACATATTTTTTCGTACACGATCTACGTCTTTAACTGAAATATTAGTACATACGCTTTGTCCAATTTCCCGTAAAATTATTTTTTTGGGCCTCATACTTACATCTTCTACCGCTTTACGCTTACAGGCTGAATTGATAATTTGTCTGTCAATTAGACGTCTATCGATAGCACTATGATCTGCTGCATGACTTCCTTCAACCTTGACTAGTACGTAATTCGTTTTTGTAAAAATTTTAGTAGTACATTTTTTCTCGTAGCACCTCCACCGAGTAATGCCGTCTTTAGATGTATACGCATGTATAAATTTAAAATTGTTGTATATTAGCATAATATTACCGCGGTTACTGGTTATCACTTCAATATTGGGTATATTCTCCAACATTATAGAAACTATTTTATAGAACGCGGTTTCAACTGACAGGTGCAGACTGATAGCGAACAATAATCCGTGAATTATCCGCCGATATCGCTATAATAATAGCGCGTACATCGAATCAACACTATTTGATTTTGATGGATTCAGTTCAGGGGTTCTCAAAAAAAATTTATCAATTTGTTTTGGCGGAAATCGGAATATAACCTTTGGCGGAAAACGGCCATGGTGATAACGGCTGAGGGTCATTTTGGCGAAAACGGAAACCCCTTAAAACTTGTAACAAAATTGGTGTTGAATACAATAACGTCTGTGAATTACTTATCGAGGCTTTATTATATATGATAAAACATACTATTTAAACAAGTTGTTAGGGGTTATGTACTGTATTTTATTATTGGAAGGGTTGTAGACGTTTCCCAAAAACATTTGATACATAGGCCAAATATTTGATGTTGGGGGGAGGGAGGGGATTGGTCTATCTAATATCTAAAATTATTTTTTGAGGTTACCAAAAACCGTTATCCCTCGTAGATACGACTGATTATCATGATTATTTGCATATTATTTAGATTCATGTGTTCGATTCATGAGGCCAGTGGAGTACTACCCGCTAATTTTTTATGAGTTGTATTTTTTTGGTCAACAATAAATCCCAATAAACCCTCCCCCAAAATACCGGTCCAAGTATCTACTGTATGGATAGGGCCAAAGACTCAAACTATTTTAAAAGGAAAATGTGAGGAAGAGGTTGATTCGTATTATATAAATTAACATCGGGGTGGTTTAGGATATTGTTATATTAAGTACGCCCATGGGCGTAGCTAGGATTTCAATCAGGGGGGGGGGGGCAGTGATGTAGCCAACTTTAAATCATTAAAACTCAATTTTTTTTTAAAGTATTTATTTATAATATATTATTCATTAATCATTATTTTTAAATTATAACAATGACAATCGTCTAGAGTCTTCGCAAAATCTGCTGAGAATTTTCTGTTGCATCTCTTCCTTTTTTTCATCTAGCAGCTTTCTATGCACACTTAGTATGCATAGACCTGAAATAATTTACATTGTATATGATTAATATTAATATAATTATTAATTAGCATTGATATAAAAAAACTATTTTGATTTACCATTCAGACGGTTTTCCGTCATCGTTGAACGCAACCAAGTAAACCCTTCTTAACGTACTGAATGACCTCTCAATAGTGCTAGTTGTACATGGCTGAGCTAAAGAAATATGCAAGGCTTGTTTTATTTTAGGAAAGAAAATATCTGTTTCTTCTACTACTTCACTCATTTCCATGTCTGATAGTTTGCTTTTAGCCAGTTTTTTCTCCTTCCAGATGTTGTACCATAATTCTGCTTCACTTTCCAAGTCTTTAATTTGGTAATAATTGGCAAAATCATTTATTTTAAGTTTAAATTCTTTGGTGTTCATATCTAACATATTTGAAGGGTGTAATAATAAAAGTGAAAAAGCAGGTATGTTTTTGATTAGGTATTTTTTGATTGTAAAGCATTCACAACAGGCTCTAATAATTTAGAGTATTTTGCTATGAGGATAACACTCATTATAAAAATACTTTTATTTGCTACAGCATACAATTGAAAAGCAACTTTTCTTGTTGCAGTGTTCCCATCTTTTGACAATTTATCTAAAGCATGTACAATTATCTCAAAATTTTCTTTGAAAATTGAAATACTTCTATATTTTTGAGACCATCGTGTCTCACAGAATGCTGGTATGTTCGGGATACATTTTCTACGTAAAACAGATTCGCGAAAAAAGTTTATGATATCCTTTACCGTTGAAATTGTGTTACGTATTTCTGGAACACAATTTAAATCATTGACCACCAAGTTTAATTTATGACTTGCACAGTGAAAAAATAGAGCATGTTGTATATTTTTCTCGTAAAATTGTTTGCACTCCATTGATTTTCCCTGCCATAGTTGCGCAACCATCATAGCCTTGTCCAACAAGCTTCGTTCCATCGAGACCTTCGTTTTGAATAAAATGATCTATTGCACTAGCTATGTTAACAGCATCCATGGCATGTAGTTCAATGAAGCCTAAAAATTCTTCTCTGATAGCCCTTTTCTCATCATCAAAAAATCTAATCCCAATAGACAATTGCTCTGTTCCTGAGATATCAGCGGTCTCGTCTGCAACATCATAGTTGCGGCAGGCGGCGGTCACAATACATAGTGTATATATTATATAAGTAAAAGACTTTGTACTTATTTATTTTACTTTGTAACTATTTATAATTCTAAAACAAGATATGTACTTACCACCAAAAAACTTTCTTATGTCCATCGTGTAAAATAATATTAAATGTAAACGTTATATATTATATTCGTTACTTACGCGAACACAGAACGGCACGTACTGCTGTCTGCTGCACTTGATTGTTGACACTATCGCTGTTGATATTAATGTATAAAGCACATAACGATTAGCGTTTAACTCATAATTCAAATAATCTTTAGATAGACTAATCGATAAAATAAAAAACGATTACACGTGTAGATATCACTCGGTCCCACTAAACTATTTTTAGACTTCGTGTACTTATATCATATTTAATATTTCAATTTTAACGTAAAACTTACACGTGTGATATAAGAAATACAATTTAGTTTGTAGTTCGGGGGGGGGGGGCACTTGCCCACCCCTGCCCCATACTCGCTACGCCCATGAGTACGCCTATTATGTCATTATATTTTCACCAAGACGGTAAAATTAATAATAATATATTAGAATGTGTCTGTAGTCGAAATAACTCCCTAGCCTTTTTATTTAATTTATAATATTAGCGGTGAAATTTATAACTATATTTTGATATAACTGGAATCAATTTTTTGACGATACCAACTTTATAAGTTTTTCCATTGAACACAATAGTATTTTAAACCTAAAATTAAAATATCTAAAATAACGACAAAAAATTGTTATTTTAACACATATTATACTAGCTGATCCCGTGTTCTTCATTACCCGTTAAATGTACCAAATCTATATGACTCAAACTTTGTTCAATTCGTTATTTAGTATTCGGTGTATGGTGCTCATACGACGGATCCACGGAGAATCATAAAATTGCAGTTCTTATCCCTGTCTCTCACGCACTCCCGCATACAACCAACGCGTGCGAGTGAGAGATCCCGAGCGCAAATACGAAACTTATTGTATTTAGTCTCGCTATCGTCATATGTGTGATGTTTTTTTATCGATGTTTCTTACACACAAATATAAAAATCCATTGTCACATCTTTATCCGGAATAAACTCCGAAACTACTGTTTATAGTAAGTCAAATCATGATTTTTTTTTTTTTTTAATTTATACTTATTAATATTAAACTTTTTGGTAGGTAGTGTACTCATTCATTTTAACTGATACCTAACAGTGTTTCAAGTAAAGATTTAAATCATTTTACTGTACTTATCCCAACCTACCTTACCTTTTGTTGTAAATTTGTCTATTTAGACATATTTTTAAGTTAATTTAAAAAAAATGCTTTGTTATTTATGTAAATTTAATGCAGATAGTTTGAAGGCTTTAGTTAATCGCTTAAAAATTTTTCATTTACTAAAAACAGATAGTAACTATATGCATGTTGTGAAGAGAAATGTACAGAATCTTTTCTATCTTTAGCTTCATTTAAACTTCATATTCATAATAAGCATTTCCCTGAAAATATTCTTTTGAATCATCAACCGGAGGACCAATCTTGTTTTAATCCTTCAACATCAACCTATAATACTGAAAATATTAATGATAATAATCTTTTAACTGATTATATAAATAATGCTCCATTTAATTTTGATTTAGCTAGTGAATCCGTGTATAAATCAGCAGTAGAATTTGTTGTAAACTTGCATAATAATAATAATAATTTTACTAGAGTAGACATTATCAATATTCAAATTTTCATATTAGACAAAATAATTAAATCCATGCTGAAGAATTTAGTAGACGATGAAATTAAAGAACCAATTAAGGTGGCTAAATTTCATAGAATTGCTTCTGTTATAGAAAATGCTTTTTTATACTGTAGCACTGAGTATCGTTTGGGTGATTGGCTTATTAAAAATGAACTTCTATCTCAAATAAACCTAACCTATTTACAATTAATAATGAAATTTGCCCTGTACAATACAATGGTGAATCTATATTTAGTGAAAAAAAACACAAAAGGTGTTTTGTTACCTTTACAGTTTCAGTTTAAAAAATATTTTGAACAGGCAGATAATTTTAAATAGCAGTATAATCGCTTAAAATTATATAAGGATAATGAAAGTTCTTCTGTTGAACATTTTGTGTAAGGAAGTCTTTGGCGACAAAAAATATCTTTATTTCCTAATAAAACAATAATACCTTTTTTTTATGTATGGATGAATAAATAACCCGTTAGGCTCACATTCCACATTTCAGTCTATTTCAGCTATATATTAAAGTTTCCATTAGCCGAAAACAATTCAAAATTATCTACTATATTTTTAGCTGCATTACTAAAACATATTGGTATAAAAAATTTGGTAATGATAATTGTTTGCAAAGTCTAGTTAATGAAATAAATGAAGGGATAGATATAAACACTCAAGATGGAAATTTTCATATTCATTTTGTCTTAGGCTTAATTCTTGGGATAATTTGGGACTCACGAATTTATTAGAATTCAGTAAATCTTTTTCGGCCAACTTTTTTTGTCGTTTTTGTAAAGCTTCTAAGGCCTCAACTACAATAATGCTTCAAGAAGACTTGAGTCTTTTGCGCAATTTACACAACTTTTCTGATGATGTTGCTAGTATGAATTTTCAAGAAACAGGGATTTATCAAGAATCTTTGTTAAATCAAGTGACATGGTTTCATGTAACACAAAATTTTTGTATTGATATAATGCACGATTTATTTGAAGTTGTTTGTCACTATGATATATGTCACATAATAAAATACCATATTGTTACTGCTAAATTGTTTTCTCTAGAAACTTTAAACAATCGAAAAATGAATTTGAATTATGGACCCATAGAGAAAGGTCTAGGGAAGTTATGACCTTTGAAAATTATTTTCCTCTTATGATAGGAGATCTTATTCATGATAATGATGAAGTTTGGGCCTTTTTTCTTTCACTGCTCCAAATTAAACATTCTTCTATCATATACCTTCACTAATAGTGCAATTTCTCAACTAAAACAATTAATTTCACATCATAATTCTACGTATACTACACTCTTCAATGATACCTTGAAACCGAAACATCACTTTTTGATCCACTAACCAATAATAATAATAAATTCAGGCCCTCTTAGACATTATTGGTGTTTTAGGTATGAAGGCAAATACAAGGAAATAAAGATGTATACTAGGTCAACTACTTCCAGGAAAAATATTACATTAACCTTAGCAAAAAAAAATTCAATTAAAATTTGCTCATAGTTTAATGGTATTACCAGAAAAAAAAAATTATTGTAAATGATAAACACAAAATTCAAAGTAGTTATACAGAAAATATAAATAACAAACTTAATTTATCTGTGCTACAATATGCCTGTTATACTGAATTAAAATTAAATGGAATTGTATAGAAAAAAGATTATTTTTTAACAAAAAACTATGATAAAATATGCGTATTTAAAATATGTGAAATTGTATTAATTACTAAACCAGACAGTAAATTGTATGTTCTGGCTAATGAAATAAAGTAAAATCATTCCAACTCTCATTATGATTCCTTTAGTGTAGATTATAGCGAAGACGTTGTTAATCGTAATTGTAGTTGTAATGTAGATGAATTTAGTGGACCTCCTATAAATATAACTAAAATGTCATGTGGTGAAAAAATGATCCGTCTAAAAGAATTTTATTAATTAATTAGGATACATTATTTATTTTTATTATATAACTATGCTTTAAACGAAATAATTATCTCTACCCTATTATCCCACGAACGGCATACTCTCATTAATCACACTAACAATATCAAATTCCTCGGTTTCAATAACATTTGCGTTCATTCTATTCCAAAATTATTTTATATTTGCCTCCATTTTCCACACTGCTTTTTATTTCTACCACGAAAATAAATTTTTAGGCTAATTACTTAACTTAATTATTATTGGCTAACTTCTTTCTTTCTGTTATGTCTCCTTCCTTAGTACCATAACCCTAAGATCATGAACATATTCAGTTTTACTACAATTTCACGAATTCAATGTCCACACTTTTTTAAACTGTCTTCTTTAAAGTTATAAAATGATACTATTTTTTATTAAAAATAATACTCATAATTGACAACTCGTACACCTCTCCAAACTCCAGTACTTTTATCTATATCAGATTCCTTTTTCAGAAACCATTACCTCAATATGCTCTAAATTAATTATGTACTTTGTGAGAATTAAGTTGTCAAGTAAGTTTTTAAAAATGTAATATTTGACA